AATCTGCAGCAAAAGACCTCTTTAAAGTGTTAAAAAGCAAAGATGTCACTTTGAAGACTAAGGTGAACCTGACCCGAGCCACGGTATTTTCAATTGCCTTATATGTATGTGAAAGCTGGACAATGAATAAGGAAGACCGAAGAAGAACTGATGCCTTTGAATTACGGTGTTGGCGAAAAATGTTGAACGTACACCAAGGACTGCCAGAAGAATGAATAAATCTGTCTTGCTAGAATTACACCCAGAACGCTCCTTAGAAGCAAGGATGGCGAGACTTCATCTTCATGTACTTTGGACATGTTATCAGACCAGTCCCTGGAGAAGGACATCATGCTTGACAGAGGGTCAGCGTAAAAGAGGAAGACCCTTAAGGAGATGGATTGACACAGTGGCTGCAACAATGTGCTCAAGCATAGAGCAACGATTGTGAGAATGGTGCAGGATCTGGCAGCATTTCGTTCTGTTGTACATAGGGTCAGTATGAGTCGGAACTGACTCAAGGGCACCTAACAACTAGTTGCCATGGAGTGGATTCTGACTAATAGTGACCCTACAGAACAGAGTAGAACTGTCCCATAGGGTTTCCAAGGAGTAGCTGGTGGATTTGAACTGCTGACCTTTTGGTTAGCAGCCAAGCTCTTAACCACTGCACCACCAGGGCTCCAACAACAATGAACAACATATATATATAACCTACATTTTTCTCTAGTATTTTGCAAGATTGTTTTAAAAAGTAAATATTTTTTCAGTACATATGTATTTTTTATTTTGTTTTAGGTGAAAGTTTACAGAGCAAATTAGTTTCTCATACTTTATACACGTATTGTTTTGTGACATTGCTTGCAATCCCCGCAGTGTGTCAACACTCTCCCCTTCCCCACCCTGGGTTCCTTGTTTTGTCTCATTTTCCTGTCCCTTCCCACCTTTTTATTTTTACTTTTGGGCAGGTGTTGCCCATTTGGTCTCATTTACATAATTGAAAAAATATGTTCCTCACCCGTGTTACTGTTTTATAGACCTGTCTAATCTTTGGCTGGGGGATGAACTTTGGGAATGACTTCAGTTCTGAGTTAAAAAGAGTGTCTGGGGGCCGTAGTCTCAGGGTTCTTCTAGTCTGTTAGGCCAGTACGTCTGGCCATTTTTGTTGTTGTTGTTGAATTTGAATTTTATTCTACATTATTCTTCCCACTGTTTGAGATCCTTTATTGTGATCCCTGTCAGAGCAGTCAGTGGTGGTAGCTGGGCACTATCTAGTTGTTCTGGGCTCAGGCTGGTGGAAGCTATGGTACTTTTGGTCCATTAGTCCTTTGGACTAATATTTCTTTTGTGTCTTTGGTTTTCTTCATTCTCCTTTGCTCCAGCCTGGATGGGACCAGTAGATGCATCTTAGATGGCCACTCGTAAGCTTTTAAGACACCAGACACTATTCACCAAAGTCGGATACAGAGCATTTTATGAACCGTTATGTCAATTGACCTAGATGTACCCCAAGACCATAGTCCTCAGTCCTCAGCCCTCAGCCCAGCAATTTGGTCCCTCAGGGTGTTTGGATGTGTCTATGTAGTTTCTATGACTGCCTTGGTCAAGTTGTGTTGACTTCGCCTGTATTGTGTACTGTCTTTCCCTTCACCAAAGTTAACACTTGTCTACTAGACATTCATTCCCCTCCCCGCCCCTACCCTCCCTCATAACCATCAAAGATCTTTTCTTTGTGTGTAAATCTTGAGTTTAAAAAAATAAGTTCTTATCAACCTGAGTTTACTGTGGTAGGTACTGGATGCGAAATAGATACTTCTTTCCCAAATAATGAAATGGTTGACACTTAGAGGGTACACTGTACGACAGGCTCTGTTCTAAACCCGCCACAAATATTGATCTAATCAACGCAATAATTCCATAGGTAGGGAGAACAGATGAAGGATATGCGGCAGAGTGGTTAAGTAATTCACCCAAGGTCACAGCTAGTAAATACCAGCAGGGTTGGGATGTTAATGCAGGTAGTTTGTCTTCAGTCCATGCACTTAACCGGTTATCTGTACTGCCTCTCCCAAATAGGTAACCAGTTGTCCAAATACCACTTAATGAATAATTCATCATCTTGTTTTATTAACTAGAGTGTTTCATTAATCTTTCTGAATACCTGCACCAATACACTATTTTAGTTACTAGAGGTTTGTACTAATTTTCAGCAATACAAGTCTGTCCCATTATATTTTTCCCTGAAATTTCCTAGCTATTCTTTTTTTCAAATGAACTTTTAATTTTACCAAATCCAAAAAAACTAACAGATAAACAAGTGAACAAAAACATCGGCAGGCATTCTGAGTTTGTTACATTCATAGACTAACTTGGGGAGAAGTGGATTTACAATTTGAGTCTCCTCATCCAAAAAAATACAATGTCTCTCCCCATTATCTCAGTCTTCTTTAATTTGCTTTATTGCTTTCATTTTCTCCATAGAGGTCCCAAACATGTCTTGGTAATTTATGTCTTTGAGAATAGGATCAAACCTGACTTTGCTATTCACTGGTGACCAGCCATCACACCCTCCTGTTTGGAACAACGGGATAGGCATATACTCACAAATTCAAAGCAGGTACAACTGCAAACACGTATCATGCAAGTGTGCATAAACTAAGAAGCACTGGTATTTCTTTTTTTAGTTGCTTCTCTTGAGTTTTCCAAGACATCTGCAAATAACTATTTTATGTTCTTTGTAACGTAACATTAAAATCCTCACGTATACCTGCTGCAATTGAGGCTAGTATATGTCAGTTAATTGAAAAAGTAGATTAAGGAGAGGCATCATAAAAAATTAAACATACATCCCTCGAACATTTGAGTTTAAAATATATAAATTTGCCAATCTTTTAAGGAAGGTCAGTCTTTTCTTGAGCAGGTGGATCCACTGGTGGGAGAGCTGCAGCTGTCTTTGTCGCATTCCAGTTTCTTTAAAGTAGCAAGAGAACTTAGGACTCCAGTGAAGGAATCAGAGTGCAGATTTTTACTGGATCTCCCCCCAGTCTTGGCCATCCTGCTCACACTTGACAACAGTTCTTCTTAACAACCCACCTTTTTCAAACCTTTCGAAAGCATCAACTCAGTTTTCCTGAGAATTCTTTTTTTTCTTATAGTCCATCAATTTTCATAACTTTTAGTTTACCTAATTTATAATACTAAATACCCGTTGCCACGGAGTCAACTTTGACTCACATGGTGACTCCATGTGTCAGAACAGAACTGTGCACCACAGGATTTTTAATGGCTGATTTTTGGAAAGTAGATCGTCAGGCCTTTCTTCCGAGGTGCCTCTGGGTGGACTCGAAACTCCAGACCTTTTGATTAACAGTCAAGTGCATTAACTGTTTACACCGCCCATTACCAAGGGACGCCACAATACCAAATACAACTGGCATAAACAGACTTGTGAATGAATAGCTCACTTTTGGTAAATTCAAAGGGAGTGAGGGCAGAAGCCAAGTGGCACACTAGAAAGTGGCAGACCATTCATCTAGTGGCCATTGGTTTTCCAGAGGGAATGGACACAGTGGGCTAGTCCATCAAATTAGTCAAAAATGTTTTATATTTAGAACCATTGTGCTTAATATATATACGTACGCACAGATATACATACGTGTGAAATAGTCTTCTATTTGTATTTTGCAAGAGTTTTTATTGTTATTTTTAAAATCAGGAATGGATTTTAAATTTTATCAAATGTCTTTCTGGCATGTTTAGACGATTCTGATTTTTCTCATTTCATGTATTAATATGAAAATGTATATACAGCATATTAAAAAGAATGAAATATCCTTAAATTCCTAAAATAAATCTCACCTGGTCAAGGTGTACTATTATTTTAATGGATTCTCTTTACCAATATTTAGGCATTTATATCCGTAAGTGAGATTGGTGTAAAGTTTTTTGATTTTTTAAATTATCTTTTCTCTGACTCAGAACAGTGTTTTCTCATTTAAAACATTTTTTTTGTTCAATTATGCCTCTTGCTCTACTCTTTTATTTTGGAGCCCTTGTATTGATATAACTCCCTGTAGTGAAAGCAGTTTGCGCTTGACTACTAGCCTATAGGTTCACAATTTGAACCTATCCAGCGATGCCATGGAAGAAAAGCCTGGTGATCCACTTCTACAAAGATTACAGCTAAAAAAACTCTATGGCGTTCAGTTCTACTGTGTAACACATGGGATCACCATGAGCTGGATTCAATTTGATGGCAACAGTTTCGTAGCAGTATAGCATAAATGCAGACTTTGTAAAAAAAGGCTACTTCTATCTAACGTGATGATGCTACCAAAAAAAAAAAAGTTATTTCCAAAGCTGGTTAAGCCAAATGCACTGATATTTTTAATACAGTTATTAGGAAAGCCAATACTAGGTTTTCAGGGGTTTCCAACAAAAAGGAAGGAATGCTACTTCAAGGACATCACAGAGGTTGGAAGTAGCAAAGGAAGAGGCCCAGTGTAAGGCATGATCATATGTGCCTCACACAATCCCTCTTGAAGCCTCTACAAATTTGTAACAATTCCTTTTCAGAAGAACTTTGCCTTGATGAGTACATGGTACATGAAAGCGAAGCTTAAAAAGAGCTCCATCAACTAAAGGTCACTTCTTTACTATCAGTTTTCATAGTCCTCAAAATAACCACTTCTTGAATAGTAAGATTAAAAAATAATAAGCCATGTATACCAAGTACAGTAGAAAAGCACGAGTTTTTAACGAAACAAGAAACTTTTGTAAACGGTTTCTTGCAATGTGAAAACATTTTCTTATTCAATTAAATCTGCCAGGATTTATTACTTACACAAAGGACAAGGGAAGTTGTCTCTGATTTTCCCTTAAAGTACAACTAAATTCATTAAGCTGGTAGCCTTTTTTTTTTTCTTTTTAATGTTTCACTGGGTTTTGTTTGTTATTTGAATGGCTTGAATACAACGTTGTTTTTGTAGACTATTGATTTCTAGCTCCAAATTAGAACAGTAAATCATACAACGGTTTTATTTGCAACTATAAAAGGGTAGAGGGGAGCACGGATGGAGACCGACTGCAGGATTCTGTTCAGCCCTCGCACTTGGCTTTCTTGCACGCTGGAAGAGAACTGTCATCCTCTTCTGACGACCGAGGTTTCTTCACTGTGGAAACAATTCCAAAAGCAGTCTTTCTAGTTTCTATAAAACCAACAGGGAAAAATCATAGTGCTTGAAGTTAAAATGTGATTAAAAAAGAGGTGGTTAACAAGTATCATCATATCACTCTGATCTCTAGCACTAGTAAATGGTACAATCATAATGAACTGCTATAGGTGCTGCTGTCAATTACTGTCATTCCCTTTTCTCCCCCCGACATACACATACACATATACCACTACATTACTAACATCTAATTCATTGCTAAGGGTTATCTCAAGGGTAAAACTGCAGGGCAAGGCTACCCCTAAAGGTCTGTCTGTCCCTGGCACTTATTGCAGCCAGAACTCAAGTCATACATGTTGGTGCCCCAGAGGGTTTATGTATGGTAGAAAGACAGACAAACCAGGAGAGCAAGTACAGCACGTACTTTTATTGCTCCCATGGAGGTGTGCGTTTGCCTCATTTTCAGCAGGTACCACATCCGTCTCTCTTACTAGACTACCTCTGAAGAAACCATCACCTTATCGTGCCAACACCCAGCAATGCCTGGTATGTAACAGGTGTTCAATAAATACCTGATGAGTGAATGACTAAATCCAAACTCACACGTTTATGGATCCCTTATACTCTGGTTGACAATGGACAAAGAAAAACAAAAATTATGAATGCTTAGGTCAGGCTGGCAACAGAGTTCAACTTAGCCAACTTCTGGGCCAGACACTGTGTGATATGCAGAGGTATAAGGATGCCTAACAGACAACACCAAGACTTCCTCCTTGGTAAGCGCATAAAGACAAATATAACAGGAACAGAGGCACCTACAAGAATTAATTATCTGAATCAATCAAGGAACACATCATGAAATAGGTGACAACAGGAACAAAGAAGAAGGAAAAAGGGGGAAGTATTCCTTTGCAAAGACAAGGAGAGAGATGTAAGAAGAACCTAGTATTTTCAGAGAACAATACGGCTGATGTGATGGAGGAGTGTGAAAACACTAGGGGGAAATGAAGCTGGAAGGATAAAGGTCAAGTGTCATGAAGAGGGATTCACACTTTGTCCTCAGAAAATGGAAAGGGACTAGGGAGAGAATCATTAGCTAGGAAGGACACAGAATCAAGAACTTGACGAACAAAAGCTTAGTTAAGAGTTATTTCTTATAAAAGTCAATTTCTAAGAGTTAATAAGCATCACCTCATTCATCCTAACTAATCTACCAAGTCTACTAAAACTTTGCCAGTTATTTAAAAAAGCCCTTTAATTTATACAAGGAACAAAAACTGCTCTCAGGGTCACTAAAATGCCAACACAATCAGAGAACTTCAAAATAAATGGAAATAGCCAATGATTTCCATTTCACCAAATGAAAAATATTGCATTGAGAGATGTTTATTCAAAGCATTATGATCCTGAGTAATAGTCTGAAATTCAGCTGAATGAACAAAAAGTATAAAAATTAAATTGTGAAAACCAGCACTTTTTAACAAAACAAAATGCAATGGTTTCAAAATTATTTTAGTTCCATTTCAGAAATGTTACACTATTTATGTCACATGAACATTTACTTCTTAATCTAAGTTGATATAAATAAATGAAAAACCAGAACCTTTATAATTATCAAATAAAGTAAAACTTGTTTAGTGTAAATAAGTCTTTTAAAAATAAATCTATTCCATTCCTGGGTATATACCCAAAAGAATTGAAAGCAGCAACTCAGGCAGGCACATGAACACCAATATTCACTACAGCACTATTCACAATAGCCAAAAGATGGAAACAACACAAATGTCCATCAGCAGATGAATGGATAAACAAAATGTGCTATATATATATATAAATGTGGTATATACATGCATACAATTTAGCTTTCATGAGAAATGAAATTCCACTATATGAACTTCGAAAACATTATGCTAAGTGAAATAGGCTAGACACAATAGGACAAATATTTTATGATTCCACTTACATGAAATACCTAGAATAGGCAAATCCATCAAGACAAAAGATTAGTGGTTACTAGGTGATGGAAACCCCGGTGACATAGTGGTTGAGAGCTACAGCTGCTAACCAAAATGTTGGCAGTTTGAACCCAAACGGCGCTCCTTGGAAACTCTACGGGGCAGTTCTACTCTGTCCTATAGAGTCGCTGTGAGTTGGAACTGACTTGATGGCAACAGGTTAGGTGCTGAGGGGAGGGGCAGATAGGGAGTTTAAAAGAAAAAACAAAGTGAAACAACAACAAAACCATTCAGGAATATCAGCAAGTGAAAAAGTAAGATGCAGAATGCCACTGTGACAAAAAGATTTTTTTTTTTGTAATAACAAGGAGTTACATTTGTGTAGGGCTTTGCTTTACGATGTGTTTTCACATATAGTATTTCACTTAATCATACCGCTAAGGAAAATCTGCAACTGCCTCTACCCACACTACCCATTGCCGATGAGTCGATTCCGATTTATAGTGACTCCATGTGACAGAGAACTACTACTCCATAGGGTTTTCTAGGCTGTAATCTTTACGGGGAGCAGATTGCCTTGTCCTTCTCCTGTTGAGCCGCTGGGTGGATTTGAACCACCAACCTTTCTGATAGCAGCTGAGTGCTTAACGCTGCACCACCAGGGCTCCTTATTTAGTAGTACACGATTTTGTTCATGAGAGGTCAAGGTAGGTGTCCCCAGTAGGTCCATCTTGGTCCACTGGCTGACTGAGGAACCAAACTCATCAATCATAAGCCAAATTCTCTGACTTTGAACTTCTTCCTCTCTACCTTCCTATAACCTCCTCAGCATCGCTATTCACTGGCTTCTGGAACTCCACAGACCCCATCTAATTCTGATTTCCCTGAGGCAAGCCTTCCAGTGCTGAAAGCCAGCTATTATGTGTCCCAAGTCTTCTGTTGTCCAGGTTGGACACTTGGAAAACATGTACTGCTTTCAACAATCCCTCACATGATAAGGTTTCCAGACTCTTTAAGAATCTATTAACCATCTTCTGGAAGTGCTCCAGTGCACTGCTGTCCTTAAATGCAGCACTCAGAACTATACAGATGCCAGTTGGGACTTCATTAGAGTAAAGTATAATAATGAGAATCTCAACCCTCTTGCCTCAGAGTCCTTTATTTCTTATACTGTAACCTAAGACTGAATTAGCAATCTTAGGAACTGTCTCATACTGATCCCTCAGTCAACTAAAGCCTGAGTAACTGTATAATTCATCATTTGTATTGGGATGCTTTTCGGTGTTCAATAATCCTGCAGGAACAACAGGCATAAACTAGGACTGTCATGGGCACACTGGGGCAAATGGTAATGTTACCTAAAGCCCACAAGTCTTTTTAGTTGAGCTTCTATAAAAAGCCTGGCTTTATATAACCAGTGCTGAGTAGTTGAGTTTTTAAAGTTATGTGCAGAACCTCTTATTTTTCACTACTACTTTTTTTTTTTTTTTTCCTGTTTTAGTTTCCTTTTCTTGTTTAATCTACTTTGGAATACCAATTGTTATCCAAATTTTGACGATTCCTTATATTCATTTAAAACAGATAAAATAATGGCAGAACTGCCAAAGCATGAATCAACTATTCTTTAATTTCAAGAACATCTTGATAAAAATCCCAACTAATGTGGTCATTTCCGGAGCTTATGCAATGGGGTGTAGGCTACATAGTAACAATCTCAAACTAAAAATGTTGAAACCAAAAGCAAAATTATCTAATTCATGGTAAGCCAATACAGTAAGCAGTTCTCCCAAATGGAAATCAGATCATTAAAATGCAGACACAACATACAAAGTCTTAAAAAAACCTACCTATTCATATGCTAAATAACTTAGTTATATTCAGCAATGTACTGTGTATGAGTGAGAATGTACTAGAAGGCAATGGATTCTGAAGTTTACAACACATCTGGGTGATAGCAATTAAATTACTTCTTCACCAGTACCATTGGCTCATAAAAATTACAAAGAGAATGAAGATAAAACAGCAGATCAAATGTGTAGGTTTTCTGTTTTTTAATAAAGCTTCACTTTTATTTTCCAAAGTCTCAATATATTAAATACTTCTAGTTCAATTTTTATCATCTGGTGGCGCACTGGTTAAAAGCTATGGCTGCTAACCGAAAGGTCAGCAGTTCGAATCCACCAGCCGCTCCTTGGAAACCCTATGGGGTAGCTCTAGTGTATCCTATAGGGTCGCTATGAGTTGGAATCCACTTGAGGGCAACGGGTTTGGGTTTGGTTTTTTGGATGAGTAAGAAATTCAGTGGGTTCAAGTAGTGGAATTAAGGCTAAGAGGCAGATAAATGTAAAATAAAATGTGAGTTAAAAATGTACAATCTGTACATTCTTGACCATGTAAACAGGAAAAAGAGTCATGATGAGAATAATAAATGCAAAAAGTTATGGTCGGAGTTTGTTGGGTTATAAAAATGTATTTGCTGTTTTTGTTTTCCTAATAAATGGCTGACCATATATCTTTAACATTTCAGTTCTCTAAGACAGTGATTTTCACAGGGAAAGCACGCTCCTCTGGAGAGGAGGGACAAGGATAGGAGATTAGAAGCCTCTCAAAACATGGGCCAGGGCACAAATCTATCTATAGCTTAAAGGACTACATTCAATACTCATTTCTGTAACACAAACTACATTCATTCCACCAACGATGAAGCATAAAGCCTGACATGAAGGGTGAGAAAGTAATGAGGGATATGGTTAAACAGGTTGAGAAAAGATGAGCCAAAAAGGACTCTGGAGGACACAGCAATAAAAGTAGGTATGGTTCAATTGTTTGATTAAAAATGACTTGCTTCAAACATGAACCTTTGACGTTTTCATTGGAAGAACTGCTCACCTCCGTGGAGAAGCGTTGCTCTGCAGTTGGTGGACACCGCAGCCTTAGCGTCACTTTCAGACAGCCCAAACAGCAACCCTCTGGTGGGGTCATTAAAGACTTCAACCCAGACTCAGCCAAGGACACGAGACTAACACAAACATAACTAAAAATGCCAGCTCACCTAGTCGAACTGAGAGAGAGACTTTACTTCTATAACAGTTCTTAGCCCAACTAGAACATGCATCTAAGAAGAGATTTATTTAAGTTTTTATAGTATAGAGTCCCTCACTCCTCTTTTCCCATCTCACCCTTAATCCAGAAAACAGAAAGAGTTGCTCTCCATGAGCTGATGTAGTTTTTTTTTTTTTACAGCTATTAATCAGTAAACTTACAGTAAGATGTTGAGAAAAATATTTTAACTATAATACCACTTTGAACTCCAAATTTCCTAAAAGAAAATTTCAACTCAGAAAAGGATACAAGTTTGCCACATCATATGGGCCTCTTATTTCTAAAGGCTAAAATAAAATGAACAAAAAATAGATATGAGAGGACAAGTTATTCATAACACTTCAATGACTTCATTTGGAGTAAATTAACAGGATACTTAAATATCCAAAAATAAGAAAGTCAACTGCAGAATTTTTAAGTCATTATAATCCTAATGGGTATCTCAAGTTTTTGAAAATATAAAAGAACCTTGAAAAGCATTTTGTAACAGTATAAAGGAAAAATCATTTGCATAAACAAAGCTTCAAACCCGAATGGAATGGGGAGATATTTCACTCTCCAGCAACGACAGTGAACAAATGCACAGTTAAAAATGCAAACATGCAATAAATATTCATTACATTGCTATTTTCTTTTCTAGAAAATTTTCAAAGTTTTCTAAGTTGAAAAACAAAAACAAAGTACTTAATGCCAGACTTACCCCTTCTGCAGCACTAGATATAATTATGTTCTATAAAATAGAAAGTGATCAATATTAATCTTATATAAATATAAAAAAAAAAAACAAAAAAAACTGCAGTCTTATCATACGAATACCCAGCAATCACACTTTAACATTTAAGACCCAAATACCAAATTCTTTTTAAAGATAAGGTAAATAACTACAGTGAAAGAATGACAGATCACATGTCAAACTAAAGGCAGCCTTTAATAATAACAAATTAGAACAGCTTTCTCAATAGGTCTTAGAAAAGATGAATTAGTTAAAAAAAAAACTAGTTTAAAAGGTCACGTAACTTTAATTCAACTCAATGGTGATAAACAGTTGTTATCTAGACTATTTATACTCTTCACAGTAGTAAAGTGCAAATTCCTTATTGAAAGATAAGGGTTTTCCAGAATCTTTCCTCCCCTTACATTATTCTTCCCTCAATATTTTTGTTTCCCTTAAAATTTGCAGAGCTCATCAACATGGGAGAATTTGTTTCTGTGCCTTGAGACCTTTCTGCTTTAAGAACAAGGATTCAATCTGAAATTCCAGTGTATTAATAATAATAAACGGCTAGGTTTGAAAAACATGCTAAAATGATGGAACCATACCTTTCCTTTGCAGATCTGCATCAAATTGAGGGCATTGCAAATTGTGTACCTTCTCATTGTGGAGTCTTTGATGGCAGGGCTGTAGACAAGTTCGAAGCCCAAGCCTCGGTCAATTGCCTTTATGGGAAATAAAGAAAATAAACTGTCAAGGATAAACACACACTGTCCAACCTTATTTTCACTAAATTCCCCCTGCCTCGCCCCCTCACTGCTCCATCTCCTGCTTGTCAAGGTACGGCCTTAAACAAAGGTGGATTCATGCCCAACTGGCACCATCCACCAGGCAAAGAAAACAGATCTGTGGCCCTATCTGGCCAACAGAGTTGATCTTATCTGTGGGGAAGACGACCTTATATAAACAGGAATTATGATGAGGCTAAGGACAGCAAAGTCCCAGTAGGGTGGCGAAGGGGCTACTGCTCCATAAACTAGCAAAAGGAAAACAGAGTTGCTCCATATGCTTAGGGTAAACTGAGTGCAGCGCAAACACAATAAACCAAGTCATTTGATCCAAGAATGAAAAAAGAGACAAGTTGTAAAAAACCCGAAGAATGGATGTAGGGAAAGTGTCTCAGGTAAGTCACGTATTACTACGAATATGCTGAATAAAGGAATAATAATAACAGCCACCATTAATTAAGAGCTGACTCTGCGCCTGGAACAGTGTTGAGTCTTAGGCATTACTGAACCCTTATAATACGTTTAAAAGGATACCTTGAAAAGGCACTGTGGCAGAGACTGCTGATTGCCCTCAATATCAGTTCTCCCCTTTTCCTTCAGTAATTGTCGTTGTTGTTGTTTGTTGTAGTTGAGTTGACCCTGATTCATGGCGACCCCATGCGTGCAGACTAGAACTACTCCATAGGGTTTTCAAGGCTCTGACCTTTCTGGAAGCAGACTGTCTTCCAAGGAGCCTCCGGCAGATTGGAACCGCCAACCTTTTGGCTAGTAGTTGAGGGCTTAACCGTTTGCGCCACCCAGGGACTCCTTTTCTTTAGTAATAGAGCCCTTGATTTCCATCTGGGAAAAGATGGAAGCAACCTGGGCCCTTGACAACTCTGCTCAGCTCACAACATGAGATTGACCATTTACATGTAAAAAAAAAAAATCTTATCTAAGATACTCTTAATAGGTAGGCATCAGTGTTGGCATCTTATAAGTAATAGCCTGGAAGGGGTGGAAATGAAATTGAAATCAGGTGGGTCTCAACCATTAAAGTATTTAGCTTCCTTAATGAACAACTCAGTTATCTGCATTCATTCACAACAGATGTGTTTTAGGCCCCCTGTGGCCCCGGTGGCACAGTGGTTAAGAGCTTGGCTGCTAACCAAAAAGGCTGGCAGTTTGAACCCACCAACTGCTTCCTGGAAATCCTACGGTAGTCCTACTCTGTCCTATTGGGTCGCTATGGTCGGAATCAACTCAACAGCAACAGGTTGGGATATGTACGGGAATGGTGAGCTTTGGCTCAGCATTCTAAGAGCTTACCTTCTTAGAGTTTACAGTTCAGTGGGGGATGGGTAAGGGAGGAATTAAGTACTTAAATAGGAGGAGAAGGAGCATTTTCAGACAAAGGAAAAGGCTCTGTGTTTGGAAGGAGCATGCATAGCACGTACAGAAGGCCAGAGGCCGGAGAAGAGAGAACAAGGGGAAGCTCTGTGGTGGGAGCCAATGGCTAAAGAAGATGGGAAGGGGCAACTGTGCAGGGCTCAAGAGCTGGTGACAAGGATAATCCTAACAGCAATGGGAAACATCTGAAGGACTTTAGCATGGAGGTGGTAAGTAGCGTCACATTGCAAAGGTCACTTGAGTGCAATGATCTTCTGAATGAACAAAGAAAGGAAGATGAGGCACAGACCAGGCATTATGGCCCAACTCTCTGCCTAGTAAATGAGATTCTATTACCCAGAGGGGGACAAGTTGGGATTGCTGCAGGTCTACTCCTGAGCGTTTAGGGGGAATAGAATTGCTTGCCTTCTTCCAGAACTGTAAGTCCATCTTGATTTAATTCAGGTGTACCTGGCAGCCCCCTCTACAATCCCTTCCTGAACATAGATTTTCTTTCTTCCATCCCCTAATTCTTCTTTTTCCTTAACTTTTCCTCCTGCCTTACAGCTCCTACATTTTTAGACTTTCTTGTTGTTGTTAGGTGCTATAGAGTCAATTCCAACTCACATGTACAACAGAGCAAAACAGTGTCAGGTCCTGTGCCACCCTCACAATTGTTGCTATGCTTGAATACATTGTTGCAGCCACTGTGTCAATCCATCTTGTTGAGGGTCTCCCTCTTTTTCGCTGACCCTCTACTTTACCAAGCATGATATCCTTTCCCAGGGACTGGTCCCTCCTGATAACAAGTCCAAAGTACGTGAGACAAAGTCTCGCCATCCTTGCTTCTAAGGAGCATTCCGGCTGTACTTCTACCAAGACAGATTTATTCGTTCTTCTGGCAGTCCATGGTGTATTCAATATTCTTCACCAACACCATAATTCCAATGCATCAATTCTTCTTTGGTCTTCCTTATTCACTGTCCAGCTTTTACATGCATATGAGGTGACTGAAAACACCATGGCCTGAGATAGGTGCACCTTAGTCCTCAAAAGACTTTCCTACATAGCTGTTACCGGCTTAGTTAGAATTTTAATGCTATTTCTACACAGCAACCTTCCCTTCTCCCCTTTTTATCAACTCTTTCCCACCTCTAATTCTCTGACTTGTGCTATTTCTGGTAATGACATTTAGTATGATACTCTCTGTGCAATAGTTAAATGTATATTTCATTCTTCCCATCTTAGCTTGTACACTTTTTGAAGCTGGTATCAGGATACCTCCTTGAAATATACAATCATCTTTTATACAACAAGCGTTTAATATATTTATATTCTGAGTGAATAAATAACAGCTTATGGAAGGAAGATCATGTGATAATGCTGTTCACTATGGATTATCCACCATAAAAGGAAAAAGGGTGAATTTGAAAATATCCCTTTAGCCATATTTTCAACTATCTCGCTGGCTATTTCTCTTACCAAAGCTGCTAAATAGTAAAAGAGGCTGACTTAAATTTATCTTCCTCATCCTTTCAGTTGTTGAACTAAAACACAAGGCAGTAGAAGGGAGAAGGGAAATAAAAGCTGTGGACAGACCAGGTCCCAAAATATTCCTAGTTAAGAGAATCTAAATTTCTAGCCACTTGTAGGGGTCAGATCAAAATTCAAACCCCTTTTGAGAAGAAAACCAAAAACCTGGTGCCATTGAGTCAATTCTGACTCATAGTGGGGGAGAGGAGGGAGAAAAATTACAATTGTCAACTTATTTTTTAAGAAAAAAGTGAACGATTTTGATCTGTGGTACATTAATCAAGTTCACTTTCACACTGCTAAGAAAATGGAAACACAGAAATTAAAAGTAATGTGTTACTGAAGGTTGCAAAAAGTTCTTTCCTAACACCTTATTACAAATTTTTATGGACTCAATACCTCGGCTCCTGCTTCTTAAGACCATTTTAATGCAAATTACCTTAAGCTCATCAAATGATTGTTCCTAAGAACCTCTTCATAAACAGGGACAGTGCCTGCCTGATTGGCTTTTGTTTGCATCTCTGACCAAAGGCTCTGGAATGGGCAGATGACAGGATTTCAATGCTAATGAGAAATAACAGTTATAAAAATGTTGCAAACCAAGAGCAGGTGTGCGACACTTGAATCAAGAGACACTGATGATAAAATTTCAAGGGCGAAGCAAAGCTTTAGAGAAAAGAAAAAGAAAGTAAAAAAATGAGGAGATGATTACTGACAAAATATACCTACTCCCTTTAATTTCATAAAAACTGGTTCTTTACTGAATTCAAAACTATGACACCCTTTTGGAGTATCTTTTTTTCCCCTTGAATATGTAAGTTCGTACGATTCGTAAATCAAAACAATGTAAGAACACATTTTTTATTTTTTTTGGAAAAATCAAAGAGAAGGTAATAAAGATATATTCTGCTTTAAGAGACTCCTTCACAAAACTTGGATTCATAAAGCTCATGTTTTAAAGTATGAAATTATTCTGTGCTTAACAAAGAGCTCTGCTATAAAGTAACTTTAAATATAGCATTTCCCAGTGTGGGAAATGACAGTAGATTTGGAATCAGAGGGCTTGAATCCAAATACCAAGTCAACCCTTTGGGAGAGATGTGTAAGTATGTGTGAGCCACAAACTACCTGAGTCTCAATGCTCTTACCTGCATAATGCAGACAATTAACACGTACCCCACTCCAAAGCTGCTGAGCTACAGCAGGTGTGAAAGTGCTAAACTGTAAAGTGATACATAATTAGAAGTCACTTGATTATCCAAGAGGAGGAGTGACGCCCAGCTTTTTAGAAACACATCTATCCCATGATAGAGTTGTGATTCCTGTACAAGTACCTAGGCCGTAGAAGAATGTTCTAGATTTTACAGGAGAGTATGTAATAACAATTATGGTGCCCAATGCATGTGGTGAAGATGACAAAAGGGACAAGAGCTGTAAGATATGTAAGTGGAGTGACGATTTGCTATGTTCTAGCTCCTGGGCCCTCCTTCAAACTCCCCTTTTACGCCTATAATCCTCAGATGGTTTCTGGCCTACAGGTAAAAGACTAATTAACTGCCTATCTTAACACTCCTGCTTTTCATCACAAGAAAAGGTGAAAAACCTATACAAGTTAAGAAGATCTGTGCCGCTTTCTCACGTGCCCAATAAAGTGATCCTAAAAAAGCCAGACTAACAACTTCACGGGGCTGAAGACCAGTTTATCCTCAAGGTCGAGGGAGCATGCAAGAACCAAGACTTGAGACTGAACTGTTAACCCACAATCACTATATGTTCAGTGCTTTAAGCTCAGTGAACGTATTTCCATACTTCAACATAAACATGTAGCTCCATATCCAGATTAAATATTATGTTACAAATAATACATACATTCCTATACAACTATTATTTACCCTGAACAATAAGCTGGACACCTTTTATTGTATGTTTCCAAGTTTCTGTTACACAAAAAATAGGTGAATAAATCAGCAGGGACTTTTCTGCTTCCTGACCAATTCACACTGCAGCCTACTTCTACACTAGATGAAGACTAAAAATATTCTTGTTCAGCCTTTTCTCCCACTCCATCATCTAGTTTTTATTAAATAACATATGTAAAATGTTCACACCAGGGGGGGAAAAAAAAAAGCACACACTGTGCTAAATACTGCATATCCTTCTCAGCTGTCAATTTTTACTTTCCAGAATTCTTAAGAAATGTAGGAATTAAGCCAAAAATATCCAGCAAACAACAGCAGTTTTCCGGAACTTAGAGATGGAATCACAGGGGTGGGCTGTCCTGGTGCTGCAGCCTTGAGTGCCACTCTCCTCCTCATGCTGCCAGAGTGCCCGACTGCCCCCCTGCATGCAACTCCTGCCGAATGCTGATCACCAGCTAATGATGAATCGCAAGCAGAATCTGCCAGGGTCCCCAAACTGTACACTGACAGGCTAAGACAGATGCCCATCATTCAAAAAACAAATTTTAAGGAGACTCATTATGGGCAGAAGAGCCCTGCTGGAGCAATGGTTAAGCGCTTGGCTGCTAACCGAAAGGTAGGCAGGTGAAATCCACCAGCCGCTTCATGGGAGAAAAGACCTGGTGATCTGCTCCTATAAAGATTTCGGCCTAGGAAACCCTATGGGGAGGTTCTACTCTGTCCTATAGGGTCAGTATGAGTCAGAATCGACTCAACAGCACACAACAATATCATTATAGGCAAGATATTGGGGTAATGGGGAAAAAAAAAAAAAAAAAGACCATGACAGTTGGTGCTCTCTAGAAGCTCACAGTTTGAACAATAAGACATGTTCATGAGAAACCCAAGAGAAAGCCCTCACCAAATAGCCATGGGGAATCTTACCATTGCCGTGGGGCATGAGGAATAATGTGCTGTGCATTGCTGTCCATTCCATGGACTTGTCCTTAGCATCACATGCTACTATCTCCTCCCAACCAAGCACAGTATCATATGTGGGTTTACTCAGGCAAAGCCGTCTAGAAAATGGCCTTCCTAGTTCAGGAAGGTGAAGAGAAAGGTGAAAAAGTTGGTAAGTGTAACAGCAATTTGCAGAGCAGACTTCACTGCCTAACTCCAGGGGACGCCATTTAAGGAAAACCTGGATTGGCAGTTTGAGGCTGATTATAAACTTAAGCAAACTGCTAGAGACAGAGATTGCTACCTCTGGAGAGGAACAACATGTGAGGCCAACAAGATTGTCAGAATCTTGGGTATATTAGGTTTATGGCTTTTAGAACAGGTACCTGGGGGACATCAGAGATCTCGTCTGACAGGGAATCTGAACTGAAGAGTTTGACTAAAGAGCTGAACAGGTTCTCCTTGCTAGCCTTCATTTTCCCACATTTGATAAATGAGCTGTTGAACAACAAAGATCTCAAACTCTAAAATAGGATGACTTGGGATTATTTATTTATAAGTACTGGCAGGAACATGGGAAAACAATGATTTGAGTATAAACCAATATTTTTTATATGTTCAGCAGTACTCTCAGTATTTACCAGGAAAGAGCTATTTTATAGTTTTTTCTTTAAATATATGACTTTAAAAACTTTAGTACTTTTCAAGTATAGTTTTAGGAGCTTATTTTTAGGGGTAGAACATAAGGCGACTTAAATTTTTCCACACTGGATTAAATTTTTACACACCATCTAGATCATTTTCTCCTCTCACATTGTTTCCCCCAATTCTCAACATCAAATCAATTTCCTAGCAGCAAAGACTGAGGAAGTTATGGTTCTACAGAGACAAAAGAATAGGAATTACCAACTTTCAAAAAATATATATAAATTTTTCAATTCTGACAGGATTGGGTATGGTATTTAGACTGTGTCCCTTAACAGCCTTCTTCTCTTTTGATAGTAATTTTTGAAAATGGGAGACTGAGTTTTGGAAGCCGTTATTTTAAACTAATATCCTAATTCTTCCTAGGGTCTGGCTGGTGATGCAAATAGTTAACAGCTGTGCTGACCTCACATTACTAGAACAGTTACTGATGTGAAATAGTATCACCTTTATGATGGAAAAAGGAGCCCTGGTGGTGCAGTGGTTAAAGCGATCAACTGCTAACTGAAAGGTCAGCGGCTCGAAGCAGCTACCAGGAGAAAGATGTGGCAGTCTGCTTAGATAGAGATTTACAGCCTTGGAAGCCCTATGGGGTCGCTATGAGTCGAAGGCAGTAGGTTTTATGATGGAAATGGAAGGGCAATGAGACTTACAAGAAGGCGTGAAAGAAGACGATGGGTAGGGAAATACAAAAGAAAATTACGTGAAAGAATAACAAGGAAGATTTTATAGCAGAAGGAGGAACAAAAAGTTCCCTGAACGCACAGCTGCCCTCTTAGATTATTATAAAAGTAGTTCCAGGTTTTTGTGTGCACCAGATGCTTTGATCCAGAGCTTAATTTCACATGGGCCACTCCTAGGCGATCTCCATGGCCTGCTCCCTCCTGTCCCTCCTCAGCTCGCTGGTGTCTCAGGAAGCATCTACATTCTTTTTCCTTCTTCTTTCTTACTGGTCTATTTCCTCCATGTTCAGCCTTTAAGTGGCATCGTTATCAGCTACCCTCTTCTTAAGAAATATCCTCCACAAATTTTAGTTTTGAAGGCCTTTCAAACAAAAATCTTGAGAATTTACTGGATATTTTTTAGTTTGAGCTTTCATTCTCCTTTTAAACAACTTTACGAAAATAAAACCCTCTGTTCTAAAACTGTCTCTCAAATACAGAATGAGAAGTGTAATACTTACCACATTAATAGGGGGCCTTCTGAAGTAAAATGGTAGTTTCTCTTTTACAGTTATGCAGACTAAATCCACATCTAAATGTGTGCAAGCTACCTGTCAAGAGAGAAAAAAAAAAAAAAAACAAAACAGGTCAAGCCGAAAGGAAAACCATAAGACTTGGACACAGGGTCAAACCTGACGTAAAGAAACATAAATAGAATTGGTTCGCTCCATAGGTGTTACGATGGTTCCAGGCTGGTATACATCTGACCTTTTATAAAATCAGCTGCTTAGCCATCTTTTCAGGTTTGGTTTCAATGGTTTAATTGTAATCCAGCTGAAGCAGAGTGGTATGTCCACAGACCTTCTCAAAAGGCATAAAGACCCTCTTTATTTAGATGACCTGCTACATAAAGATGGGTTGCTGAGTGCAGTTTGGTTTCTGGAAGGTTACTTCTGATCGTTCCAGAAACGCAAGAAGAAAATAAACGAAAAGGGATGTAGGCATGGTCTGTGTATTCCACGAATTATTTACTGAGCACTTTTGTGGCAGGAACTGTCCCAGGCCTGTGGCCCCAGTCTATTGAGGGGTTAAAAAAAGACTAACATGGCATTACCGAGGACGCTCTGTTCTAATATTAATGGAAACAGTCTACATAAACAGTCTCCCTGTTTTTGTAATCACTAAAGGCAGAGTTGTTACAAATCAAATGATAGTGAATGCATTTTTTCAACTTTCTATTTCCCTTTCCTTTGTTCTAGTTTTTGCTATTACTTGTTGATCAATACTATGCATTTATTTCCGAAGGAAGTTTGAAGCTGCCTACAAAAAAAGACATACAAGACAGACAGGGAAGTCAGGGCAAATGGAAAACCAGGGAAAATGAAATGAAGCTAGGGAAAGTTTACTAGCATAGAAGGCCAGAAGGCACTGTTAGAAGATGCATATCTGGCTCTGATGTTGCCAGTATTTGACTTACACTGATAAAAAGAACTGGCTGCTTTGTACTGTATTAAAAATAAACTTAACCAACAATGCTGGTATGTACAGGCTTGAGGAACAAATTCAAACTGCCAGGTGGCTATGCCAGCAAACCCACATGGACCAAAGAAAAGGGGGGGAGTGAAAGGGGGTAATAATGGCCTGTAGAATCGGCTCCGACCTTCAGCAGTGACAGCAATGTCACATCTTGTACCTTTACCTTCAGAATCCCCACTTCAGTCACCCCTCCCCCTCCCCCAAGGCTTTAGGAAGGAAGGGGTGTTCCAGGTGGTCTGGCTTTAAGACAGTCATGGTAACTCAGTAAACCTAGGAAGTAAAGTCGCTTTGGCAGAAAGACCTGCCCCATCGCAGCCGCTACAACTGTCCCACTCGTAGTCATTGAAAGTTTGATAAGTATGGATGAAGAATAGCTCTGAACAGTAGCTAAAACAAGCTTAGCTTCTGTTCACCAGTTTTTTTACTCTCAGACTGGTAAAAATTACAAAATTCAATAATACATTGCTGGTGTGGGAATGAATAAGTGGGCACTCAGAGGGTCTTTAAATCAGCACAGGGTCTTGAACAGCACTTTGGCAATAACTATCAAAATTTTAAATGCACATGCCACTTGGCCCAGTAATTTCACTTACAGGAAAGCATGCTATAGGTAGATACTATTGTTAGCTGACGTTGAGTCAGCTCTGACTCATGGTGACCTTATGTGTAACAGAACAAAATGTTGCCCAGTCCTATACTGTCTTCATGATTGCTGGTAAACTCTAGACATATTTCTACAGATATATCCTACAAATGTTTAAGGACATTACTACAAGGACGATCATTGCCACACCAACCGCATAAAACTACACACAATTAAACATTATTCAATTCTACTGAAATAGGTTATGGCCTCTTTATACAAGGGAATATGCTGACTCCTTAAATGTAATGAGGTAGATCTTTAATTGGTATTACGGAACAATCTCCAAGATATACTGTTGGGTGAAAAAGCAAGGTGTTAAGTAGGAAGGAAGGAGGGAAGGAGGGAGGGAGTAATGAAGGAAGGACCAGGTAAACAATATTTCTGAAAAAAACACACAAGAACTGTTAGTGGAGGTTGCCTGTGGAGAAAAGGGAGAGGGAGTTTTAGGTGGGAGGCTTACTCTTCATTGCATACCCTTTCGTACTGTTCGAGATTATTATCATAAACATCAATTATTTTGTCAATAAAAAAAGCTGATTAATTTTTTAAAAGCCTGTTAAACTTTCTTCCCCAGAATAAAGCCAAATTACATTACTTTTTCCTTATGTATTGTTCCTTTCTTCCCCTCTCCAGTATAACAGTGGCCAATTAAAAGTATCTCTTGTGCTGGTTTAAGTACATCCGTTATAATAAACTTTTAGTAACAGAGAGCAGCTCCACTTGGCTCCCTCTGGCACCTAAACTTAAAATGTCCCAAATGGAATTCTTTTTTAATTTAGCTTTCTATACATCCAAATCTTCAACTGATACACCCAAATTATAAAACAAAAGCTAATGTTCACATTATAATGAAATGCTTTTTAAATCATTAAAAAGATTAAATTATGTCCAGTATTATTTCAGTGTTAAGACGCTTACTGTAGTTTTCTCTGGAAACTAGTAGGTCAATATGAATCCCATCAGCTGTCCTGAACTTTTTTTTGGTCAGGGACACCCATAAGGATTTAAGGAAAGTGTATACCCACAAAAATGCACATACATACAAACCTTTGCTTTTATGGTACAAGGGGAGCAGGTGTAGTGGGTCACAGTCCCTCCAAAGCCTCTATATGGATGTCAAACTCTTTGCCCTCAAGTCGATTCTGACTCACAGTGACCCTACAGGACAGAGTAGAACTGCCTCATAGGGTTTCCAAGGCTGCAGTCTTTAAGGAAGCTGACTACCACATCTTTCTTCTGCAGAGTGGCTGGTGGGTTCAAACCACAGACCTTTTGGTTAGCAGCTGAGTGCTTTAACCACTGTGCTACCAGGGCTCCTTTTATGGATGTCAGGTTAATACAAGTTGGTATTTTATGATAAACATTATGCAAGAGAGGCTCACCTAGGGAAAAGAGAGATATCCATAAACAGTGGCATTTAACCTTAAAAATTCATTGCCGTCGAATCAATTCCAACTCATAATGACACAACAGAACAGGGTAGAACTGTCCCATAGGGTTTCAGTGGCTGGTGGATTCGAACTGCCAACCTTTTGGTTAGTAGCTGAGCTCTTAACCACTGTGCTACTAGAGCGCCACTTTTAACCTCAGGCATGTACATAAATCCTCTAAGTATCTAAGTATCTAAATGGAGATTACTAAGGCCCGTGCCCATGGATTCTCATTCAGTAAGTAGGGCCTGAGAACCGGCATTTTAACAAACACACCAGCTAATTCAGAACAGTGGAGCCAGACCACATCTTGAAAAACACTGTCTTTAAAGATACACACTTTCCACAGTGCCTGAGGTACCGGTAGTAAACATATCTTAACAGTGCTCTTCCAAGGAGAGGGCACGGATTTCAGGAGCAAGAAGCAAAGAGAACTATTTCATTTATTTTTTTAATTCACCCTCTTAAAAATTTGTTTTTTGTATGTGCATATTAAGGAGCCCTGATGGCACAGTGGTTAAAGTGCTCGGCTGCTAAAAAAGGTTAGCAGTTTGAACCCACCAGCCTCTCCACAGGAGAAAGATGTAGCAGTCTGCTTCTGTAAAGATTTACAGCCTTGGAAACTCTATGGGGCAGTTCTACTCTGTCCTATAAGGTTGCTATGAGTCAGAATCAACTCGGCAGCAACAGGTTTGGTTTTTTTTTGGTTGTTATGTGTATATTAGGGAGCTCTGGTGGCTCAATGGTTAAGTACTCGGCTGTTAACCAAAAGGTCGGTAGTTCAAACCCACCAGCTGCTTTGCAGGACAAAGATGGAACAGCCTGCTTCCACAAAGATTTATAGCCTTGCAAACCCTATGGGACAGTTCTACTCTGTCCTATAGGGTTGCTATGAGTCAAAATCAACTTGACGTCAACTGGTTTGGTTTTTGGTTTATGTGTTTATTATTTTATGAAGCATACTAGAATAATGGAACATACAAATTATACAAAAATAAACATACATATTTTGGGGATGCCAGTTCAATTTCTTTAAACTGACAGGGTATACAAAGTAGTCTGGAGACTTCTGGTTTAAATAACTTGAATTTATTCACCCTGTCCAGTCACTTTAAACCTTAAATGGGAATAAGTGACTCAGAAGCTCCTGAAACTTCTAGTTAAATCTCTCTCTCTGCCATTCCACAGCAGCCCCCATGCCAAGAAGCCCTGGCCAATGGATCTTCCTCACAGTCTTTAATCTTTGCCTTATTTCTCAGGTAGCTCGGTAGGAAGTTTTTTTTTTTTTTAATTGTTGTGCTTTAAGTCAAGGTTTATAATTCAAGTTAGCCTCTCATACAAAAATCTATACATACGTTACGTGATCGTAGTTGCTCTCCCTATACTGTGACAGCACACTCCTCCTTTCCACCCGATTTCCCGTGTCTATTCAACCAGCTCCTGACCCTCTCCGCCTTCTCATGTCACCTCTGGACAGGAGCTGCCCATTTAGTCTCATGTATCTGTTTGAGTTAAGAAGTACTCTCTTCACGAGTATCATTTTATGCCCCATAGTCCAGTCTAATCTTTGTCTGAAGAGTTGGCCTCGGGAATGGTTTTAGTTTTGGGCCAACAGGGAGACCGGGGGCCATGTCTTCAGGGTTCCATCCAGTCTCAGTCAAACCATTAAGTCTGGTCTTTTTACTAGAACTTGAGTTCTGCACCCCACTTTTCTCCTGTTCTGTCAGGGACTCTCTGTTGTGTTACCTGTCAGGGTGGTCACTGGTGGTAGCTGGACACCATCTAGTTCATCTGGTCTCAGGCTGATGAAGTCTCTGGTTTATGTGGCCATTTCTGTCTCTTGGGCTAATACTTTCCTTGTGTCCTTGGTGTTCTTCATTCTCCTTTGCTCCAGGTGGGTTGGGACCAATGGATGCATCTTAGATGGCCACTCGCTAGCTTTTAAGACCCCAGATGTCACTCACCGAAGTGGGATGCAGAACATTTTCTTAATAAACTT